CTTCGCCTGGGCCCGGCTTTGTCAGGAAGGATGTGCGGGTGGTCGTCCAGAAGACATGTGGTCTAATTAGCATATTACCCTTTTATTAGAATAGATTATGATGTGTTTTTTCTTGCCATCATTAACCATAGTAACTGTTGCTTATGTATTAAAGTTCTGTTCCTGCTAAGTCTAGAAACAGCCTCAGAATCCTTCTCACCATTCATCTTAAGTCTGATGCTTAGTTGATCAGAATTAATACCTGAGGTGAAGCCTCTTACTGTAAATGTATCCCAGAATATATGGCATCCTCTCTGCTTTATGATCCAGCTAATAATACATTGCCTCAATCATGTTGATTGAGGTCATTTTTCCCCTTGCAGTTTCTAGTAGTAGATTACCATCTACTACCTAGGAAGTAAAATTGACTGTCTCCATGTAGATCACAAAATAAGGCATTTTTCCCATCAATAAAATTTCATTCTTTCAGCATGAGTAATTTTGTCAACAACGTTTTGAGGCAGTAACAGTTTATAACAAATTGAATGAATTATTGTTTCAGGTACTGTGCTGTGTCATACACAGATTTCATTTTATCTTTGCAACAACTCCATACAGTAGGTACTATAATGACACAGATGAGAACACTGAGGTATAGAGAGATCAGGTAACTTGACCAGTAAAACCTGAAAGTGGCTGAGTCTCATTTCAAATCCATGAGCCATGCCATTTAACCATTACGCTCCACTCAGTATTGTGCTAGAGCCTGCTCTTACTGGCTCACAAATTTTCAGGAATGTTGCAAGCTGGTTGTTAAACATGGTCATTATTAAAAATTAAATTATGTAATCTTAAAAGTGAATAAATTACATTAAAACCAAAGGTAATACATACTCTAAATTCATCACGCCTTAATTATTTACTATACTTTACTGTTCTGACTCTTGACATTATTTATATATTTTGGGTCTTTCTGGTAGAATATAATAGTGTATTACTGCATTTTTCTCCTCAGCTCTGCATTTAGTGGCATCATATTAGCAGCCAAAATCAGCCATGGAAGGAGAATTTATGCCACAGAAATTGGCCGATACTATAAATCAGGGTTTTGTTTTCTTTGATTGAGAGCCAGTTGTTAAACATTTATTGGCACAACACTGACCACATTGGTGGCGGTGGTCTTGTCAGAATGTGTAATATAATGCAGATGAAAATCTATTTAAACAGACTTGATGTAGATATTTTCAAAGATGGAAGAATTGTCCCTGTCAACTATTTTAGTTGATTCATATCTTCACTAATTGTCATCATTGCAAAGTTTTTAGTCCCCATATGGATTGCTGGATATAATATGTCATGCCCTGTCCCTGTCCCCTCCCTTTGTAGCCCTTGTTACCTTACGGACTCTAGTTTTCTATTTATATGTTTAAGTACCAACCTTACTGGCATAAAAATGTAAGCTTTTAAGACTGCTCTCTCTGTTCTGTATCCTTCAGATGAAAAGTGGAGTTGGGTTGCAGCACAGGAGAGAAGGGGAGTATTGAAGTAATGACTGCAGTAGGAGAAGAGGGAACTTATTTCTCGGGCCACAGGCGCTGGCGCCCTGGACTACAGGGCTGGCAGCTCTTCCAGGTGGCTACAGCCTGGGACCTGGGGGCAGGTGGCTTGTCTGTCTCCTGGGCCGCAGTCAACCACAGGCGCTGGCACCTGGACCGCAGGTGGGCGGCTTCTCTGTGTCCCCTGTGATGCAGTGTGGGCAGCTTCTCCGGCTGGCTGGAGCCTGAGATCACGGGCAGCTTCTCCGGCTGGCTGCAGCCTGGGCTTAAGGGGCAGGCAGCTTCTTTGTCTCCTAGGCTGCAGTCAGCCTCAGGTGCTGGGGCCCAGTTGCTCAGTCTTCCAGAGGACATGGGGTGGGCGGATGTGGGGCAGGCAGCTTCTCCAGCTTGCTGTGGTCTGAGATCCTGGGGCAGGCGGCTTCTTCGTCTCCCAGGCCACAGCCAGTCTCAGGCACTGGGTCCAGGTTCTCTGTCTCCCCTGGGATGCAGTGTGGATGGCTTTGGCTGGCTGTGGCCTGGGATCATGGGGTAGGCAGCTTCTTCATCTCCCAGGCCAAAGCTAGCCTCAGGCGCTAGAGCCGGACTTCTCTGTCTCCCCTGACTTTTGCGTCTCCAACAGGCCTGGAGGGGCCAGAGCCAGGATGTTTGCATGGTAGCTGTGGCTGCAAGCAAGTATCCCAGCTCTGCCCTCCGCCATCTTTGTTGGGTTAATGTGCATATCACTCTGGATTGGCTGGTGGGTGTGGCTGGTGGGCATGGCTTAGCATAGCAGAGGGATGGCTAATTTGCATGTTTATTATTATATAGGATCTCCTTAAAAATGTGAAGGTATTACTGATCTAAGAAATGTTAAGTATTTAACTTGCCACCTAAAATCTAAGGCTTCTAAAAGTTAAAAGTTCAAATTGAATTGGGAAAGATTATATAGTTACAATAATAAAATGCATAAAGTTTAGAAATTCATTTTCAAGAAAAACAATTCTTGTGTTTTCTCTGGAGAAATTAATAGTTCAAAATATATTGTAGTACTTATGTGTACTATGTGTGGTAAAATTACAACCTAGAATATAATATTTTATATGGCCTGATTAAAAAAGAGGATTAATTCTATAGTCTAAACCAAATTTTTAATATAAAAACCAGTTTAAATTTAATATCTTTTAGAATAATTACAAAAAGTGTATAATATAATTTTTGGGTTATATATGTTTGATAGTCTTTCCAAGTTAAATTTCAAGACTTTAACCAAAAAATAGTTTTGGGACTTTTCAAGGGCCCTGAAATGATTCAAGGATTTACTCTCTTCTTAAAAGAAATATCTTTGAACTAAATTAGGCCAATCTAATATACTTGAAATCACGTGGGAAGCTTTATCAAATAAAAATTAATAACTGTATTTTGTTTATATACATACTAGAGGCCCGGGGCAAGAAATTCCCTCAGCCCAGCCTACACCCTCTCACAATCTGGGACCGCTGGCTCCTAACCACTCACCTGCCTGCCTGCCTGATTGCCCTTAACCGCTTCTGCCTGCCAGCCTGATCGCCCCCTAACCACTCCCCTGCCAGCCTGATTGATGCCTAACTGCTCCCCTGCTGGCCTGATCACCCACAACTGCTCTCTCCTGCTGGCCTGATCGCACACAATTGCCCTCCCCTGCCGTGACCCACCGCCTCTGTTGGAACGCGCCTCCTCTGCGCGAGGTGGCGGAGACGCCATGACTGGCCTCCTCCGCGCAATAAGGAGCCACGGGACCCCCAGGCCTCACTGCGTGGAGCGGCTGTTGGGCCCCGCCTCGGCTGTGCACATGGCCTTCTTGTGGTGGCCATCTTGTGGTGGCCATCTTATGATGATGTTGTGCATGAGGGCCACCTAGGCTTTTATTAGTGTAGATATTTAAAATGTTATAAAAGTCTCAACCTCTAAGGGGAGGCAGGACAAAGTTGCTGAATACCTCTTAACCCAAACCAGATTATTTGGCAACAGAATTTTAAAATAAGAAGCCTCAGACAGCCTGCTCTTCAAATAGGCTAGGGGGATGGGGCAGCATCTGTACTTCATAGGTCAAATGTATAAGTTTGCTTACTTTGCTTTTTCAATAAAGATGCCTACTTTAGTTACTTAAATTAGCTTTTTACAATATAATCAATGTCTCATATAAACTCAGTTATATGAGAAGCCAATATTTTATAAGCAATTGATTCTACCAAAATCCAAAGTAAAAATTTGCATACATATGCAAATGAGCACTAGCCAAAAATAATGCTGTTTAAAAGTAAATTTAAAGCTTAATAAAAAGGAGAAATTTTAAAATCTTTCCCACTAATGTTTACAAAATAAACTAAAAGTTATTATTCAAGCATTAAATCTCACCAAAATAAGACACCATAAGTAAAAGAGAGTTACTTTTACTTGATATGTATGCATACCTCTCTCCTATTGGTATTTCTGAAAAGCAACCAAGTTTATTGGTCTGTATAAAAGAAAGAAAAAGGTTTTTAAAAGAAACTCCCTAAGTGTGGCCTAGAAGTTACTCTGGGAGAAAAAACAGGAGATTCCCTTTATATATCTAGAAAACTGTAATTAAAAATCAATGTATTAGGCCTCAAAAAGAAAAGTAAATAATTTACATTTTGCTTCTTTAAACAAAGCTTATGTCAATATTCTCAAGGACTGATAGCAGGAATCCAATTTGTGTCATTAACTGTCCACACCCAAGGACAAATGAAGTTAGAAAATAAGCCTTATTTTAGACTGATTTAAATTGGCCAATTGAAATAAGTGAATATTCAGGGGAACATATTTGTACTAGGCAGGAACCTATTCCTGGAGCATTAGCTATTTTTTACTGATGGCTTCTTTAATGGCAAAGCTGCTTATCATATAATGGATTCACACCAAGTCATCCATACTAGTCACACTTTTATACAAAAAATCGAATTAGAAGCTATCAGGCTGCGCTGCACGATTTATGCTGCTGGCCTGGTAAACAGAATTACAACTGCTCAATTAAAATGGCTCAGTGAACAAAGTCTATTTATACTATTTAAACAAGTCCTGGTCCTTTAACAAAAGGAAATGACTTTATTAAAACAGGCCACAGAATCGCATCAGCTTTTACATCAGCCTACCAAAATATTGTACAGCAGGCAAAACAAATTATCAAAAAAAAAAAAAAATGTCCCCCTTGTATGTTACATCTGCCTCAAGGGCCTGTAAAATCCCAACTTGAAAAACAAAAAAGGGGGAATAGTAGAGAAATCTCCTGTAAGTAAACTACATCAAGCTTTAATTACTTTAAAATTTTTCACTTGTAATGCTGATGGCAAGACACCAATGGAATCACACTGGTGTCAGAATAAGCCAAAGGAAAATGGTCTGGTTAAATGGAAAGATCCTGAGTCTGGGTTATGGAAGGGTCCTTTTTATTAACCTTTGATTGAGGATATACTTGTGTATTTCCAGAAAACTCCAAGCCCATGTGAAAACTTCAACAATGGATCCGAGAGAGGAACTGACCAGACTACTCCAACCACAGATAGCAGTAGCCCCAAGCAACACACTGACGAGACAGAGGAGAAACAGTCCAGAGATGGGGGATGGTAAAGACTCCTTGCCATGTTACCAGTCATCAGCTGTGCGTTGATGCAGGTTGCCCTGGACAAAGCCAAAGAAAGTCAGACCTGCATGCTATTGCCAACTGTTTGTCCATCATCCAGAACTCGAATATCATTGCAGTCATGTCACAGGGGACAGTGATTGGGAAGGGGACTCAAAGAACTGATGGCCCAGAAAGGAGCCTACTACAAACTAATTCCTTAAATGCCTGACAGCAATTTAAAAGGACATGAAAGAACTCAATCCTTTTCATTGAATATTTCTAGTCTGCAGATATGGAATGAAAAGTCTTAAAAGGACTCAAGCCCTGTAAATGGCATACACCTTTCTAAATTTATTAAGAAAACAAAAAGGGGGAAATGCTGGAGGCAAAAAAGAACAGTAGTTAACATATAAATGGAGAAGTCCGCTGGAAGGCTATTGGACTTTGATATTCAACTGAAAAATCAGCATTATATTATCCTGTTGTTGGCTGAATGGCTGAAGGCAATCCCCTAACCCAGTGGTTGGCAAACTGCGGCTCAGCAAACCACGGCTCTCCAGCCACATGCAGCTCTTTGGCCCCTTGAGTGTGGCTCTTCCACAAAATACCGACTTCTGTGCATGGGTCATGAAGTTTTAATTGCACTGTATGTGCGCACCCCCATGTGGTATTTTGTAGAAGAGCCACACTCAAGGGGCCAAGAGCCACAGGTGGCTTGCGAGCCGTGGTTTGCCGACCATGGCCCTAATCTGATAATCCTTTTACTGTTTACCAAACTTTACCTTTGATATGTCTGTTTGCATTCCTAAAGGGCAAATGTGTATTCAAGTAAATAAAAGATGATGGGTCTGGGGTTTCAGCAAGCTTCTCTGCTAGAGGGAAGTTATCCACCTGGCTCCCCATGCCTTCTAAATTTATATTTCTTGTCTAGTGTATCCATATGTGCATCAGCCCTTTCTCCAGACCTTGAACCTTAGCCATGCTGGTTGCAGCTTTAAGCACTTCTCTCTTCTGTCTACACTTGCTCTTCCCATTCATCTCCCTAGATCACCAGAGGAAGAGACTTTTGGCTCCCATCACAAGTAAGGAAACACGAAACCAAAATATGTGTATCATAAGAGAAAGTAGACAAAGTAGACAAAGATGTAACAATCATTAAGTTGTTAACAGATTTTCTTTGTCTAATTTCTCTTATTTTCAAAGAGACTTGTTCAGAATCTAGGCAAAAGAGGAAGATGTACATTTTCATAGTTTCTTAATAGTCCATTTTCAAAGCAACATGAAAAAGAAAAATATAATTTAACTTATAATACTAGTGGCCCGGTGCACAAAATTTGTGCACAGGGGCGGGGGGGTCCCCTCAGTCCAGCCTGCACCCTCTCCAATTGGGGACATCCCTTTCGCAATCTGGGGCCATTGGCTCCTAACTGCTCACCTGCCTGCCTGCCTGATCACCCCTAACTGCCTCTGCCTGATTGCCCCAACCCCTCTGCCTTCCTGCCTAATTGCCCCTAACCTCTCTGCCTGCCTGCCTGATCTCCCCTAACTGCCTCTGCCTGCCTGCCTGATCGCCCCCAAGTGTTCTCCCCTGATAGCCTGATCTCGCCCCCAACTGCCTCTGCCTGTCTGATCACCCTTAACTGCCCTCCCCTGCCAGCCTGATCTCACCCCCAACTGCCCTGCCCTGCCGGCCTGATCTCACCCAGTCTCTGTCTCTCTTTGTTTTTCTCAGCAGTCCTCCAGGCCTCCCTGCCTCCCTGTCTCCCTCTTCCTCTTTCCTGGCTGGGAGGGGGTGGGGCCAGTGGGGGCCACTCCACCCTCTGCTTGCCCTCCCTTCCATCCAGGCCTCTTCAGGCCCAGTCTGTTTTGTTTTCATCTCTCCATCCCAGTCTCTGTCTCTCTTTGTTTTTCTCAGCAGTCCTCCAGGCCTCCCTCCCTGCCTCCCTTTTCCTCTTTCCCAGCTGGGATAGGGCAGGGCCAGTGGTCGCTAGGCAGGTGCTAACTCTGTTGGTGGGGTCCTCCCAGGCCCTCAGCACACAGGGAGCTGGTCTGCCTGCCTTGAAGCCTGTGGTGCCGCCCGCTTCCTCCAGAGCCAGGTGCGCTCGGAGGGTGGGATCTTCACAGAGGCCTCTCCAGAAACAGGTCAGGGAGGGTGCCTCAGGGCCGATGGGACTGAGGGAAGTGTGGCGAGCTGGCAAGCGTGCCCCACAGAGAGCAAACAGCAGGACCTGCTTGCAGGTTGCCGCGGTGACCAGGCGAGCAGGCAAATGGGCCCTACTGTCTGGTCTCTGCAAGGCCGCTGACAGGACCGCTGATAGGCAGGGTTGACAGGACCGGGGGACTCCAGCGGGGCTGAGGGGACGGGGTGCCGCCATCTTGTGGCTTTGGGCACCACCATAGCCCCTCCTTTTTTTTCCCAGCTCCTTGAGCGGAGGCCAGGGCGGGCTGGAAGCCTGGGTTGCCCCCGGCGACCCAAGCCCTAAGCCCCTCCTTGAGCGGAGACCAGGGCAGGCTTCCAGTCACTCCTTGAACAGAGTCCAGGGCCGGTGGGAAGCTTGGCTCCCTCTGTGGCAGGGAGCAACCCAAGCCTCCTGCTCACTCCAGTTCCATGGCCGCCACTGTCTTCAGTCTTCAGTCTTCGCTCAGCGCCTGTGTGTGCAAATTAACCGCCATCTTTGTTGGGTTAATTTGTATAGTCGCTTTGATTGGCTGGTGTGTGTAGTGGAGTGGCGGAGTGACGGAGTGACGGAGTGATGGTTAATTTGCAGATTTCTCTTTTATTAGTGTAGACTAGAGGCCCGGTGCAGGAATTCATGCATGGATGGACTCCCTTGGCCTACCTGGCAATCAGGGCCTATTGGGGCCAATCAGGCCTGCTGGCCAGGGAGAGGAACCATGAGAGGTTGGCTAGCCATGGGAGGTTGGCTGTGGGAGTGCACTGACCACCAGGGGGCAGCTCCTGCATTGACTGTCTGCCCCCTGGTGGTCAGTGTGTGTCATAGCTACCGGCCAGTTGTCCAGTCATAAAGGTCATTTAGGCTTTTATGTGTATAGAAGGCTTTTATCTATAAAGATATAGATGGGCTATGTGTCTGATATATTTACAGTATTTCAAAGTCATTAAGTTATTTGAAATGTATATTTTGTATATTTATCTCTTCAGGTGATTTGGGCTGTTATCTCATTGGTTATCCTATATAATAAAGAGGGAATATGCAAATTGCCCATCACTCCGCCACAAGATGGTGGCGCCTACAGCGGAGGCAGGGGGTTTACATAACACAAGATGGCTGCACCCATAGTAGAGGCCGAGTTCCTGTAACGGGCCTTAACAAGCAATCAGCAGGGACCTGAGGCTGCACACCGCCCCCCCCCCCCCATGGGGCTTGACAAGGGACCTTAGGCCACACTGCCTGCATTGGCACCAGGCTAGGGGACCTCAGGCTGTGCCTCCCACCCAGTGGGGCTTGACAGGGGACCTCAGGCCACGTCCCCCACCCCGGCACCGGGCCAGGGGACCTGAGGCTACGCCCCCCCGCACAGCAGGGCTTGACGGGGTACCTCATGGTGTGCCCCCTGCCCCAGTGATGGGCAGGGCGACCTCAGGCTGCTCCCCCTGCCCCGGTGCCAGGCCAGGAGACCTCAGGCCGAGCCCCCTGCCCCAGCACCCGGCCAGGGAACCTGAGGCCACACCCCCTGCCCTGGCGCTGGGCCGGGGGACCTAAGGCTGTGCTCCCCACCTGGTGGGGTTTGACAGGGGACCTCAGGTCACACCCCCCACCCAGTGGGGCTTGACGGGGGACCTGAGGCTGTGCCCCCTCCCAGCACCAGGCCAGGGGACCTGAGGCTGCGCCCCCCACCCAGCAGGGCTTGACAGGGCATCTCAGGCCGTGTCCCCCACCCGGTAGGGCTTGATGGGGGACCTCAAGTTGTGCCATCCGCCCCCGCCTGAGAAAATCAAATTAAATTGCATGTGCATGGAAACCCACATACATGAGAAAGTCAGAGATGCTGCAAACATGAGAGATTCAGAGACAAACAGGGAAAATGAGGTATATATGGCGTTCTGAGCTAAAGATGAGGCTTGAGGGCTTTAGAGGGAGAAAGGTTATTTCAGGACAATAAGAAGAGCAGATGTTCAGTAATTAGTAATTTGCCTGCCATATAGATAGGTAAAAAAAGGTTAGATCTGATTTCTTTTTATTATGGGCAAAAACCCTAATTTAAATTTTTCTACATAGTTAAAGGGGAGGAGGCAAATGTTTCTCTTGAGCCCACAGGGTCTCTATTGTTTTTAGCCTCAAAATAACCCACATATGGCAGAGACACTTTTATTTATTTATTTATTTATTTATTTATTTATTTATTTATTTATTTATTTATTTTAATCTTTATTGTTAAAAGTATGACATATGTTCCCCTTTATTCCCCATTGACCTCTTCTAGCCTGCCCACTACTCCAGGCTTTCACCACCCTATTCTCTTTGTACATGAGTTATGCACATATGCATACAAGTTCTTTGGTTGATTGTTTCCCACCCACCCACCCTCCCCGCCTTCCCTCTGAAATTTGATAGTCTGTTCCATGCTTTTATGCCTTTGTATCTATTTTGTTCATCAGTTTATTTTGTTCATTAGATTCCACTTATGAGTGAGATCATGTGATACTTATCTGTCTCTGACTGACTTATTTTGCTTAGCATAATATTCTCCAGGCCCATCTATGCTGTTGCAAATAGTAAGAATTTTTTTTTTTTCACAGCACATAGTATTCCATTATGTAAATGTAACACAGCTTTTTAATCTGCTCATCTGCTGATGGACATTTGGTCTGTTTCCAAATCTTAGCTATTACAAATTGTGCTACTGTGAACATAGGGGTGCATATATTCTTTCTGATTGGTGTTTCAGGATTCTTAGGATATATTCCCAAGAGTAGGATTACTGGGTCAAATAGGAATTCCATTTTTAATTTTTTGAGAAAACTCCATACTGTTTTCCACAGGCTGCACCAGTCTGCATTCCCACAAGCAGTGTACTAGGATTCCCTTTTCTCTTCATCTTCACCAACACTTGTCATTTGTTGATGATAGCCATTCCAACAAGTTTAGGATGATACCTCATTGTAGTTTTAATTTGCATGTCTCAGACATGACTGAATTTTTTTTATATGTCTCTTTTTAACATGTCCACTTTGGAGAGTGTCTATTTAGGTCCTTTGCCCATATTTTAATTGGATTTTTTTCTCTCCCTTTTGTTAAGTTGCATGAGTTCCCTATATACTAGTATTTAGGAAATTAACCCCTTATCGGATGAGTAATTGGCAAATATGTTCTCCCATGCTACCTTTTCATTTTGTTGATGGTTTCTTTTGCCATGCAGATGCTTTTGATTTTGGTGTAGTCTCATTTGTTTACTTTTCTCCATAGTTTCCTTTGCTCTAGGAGATGTATTGGTAAACATATTGCTATGAGAGATGTGTGAGATTTTGCTGCCTATAGTTTCTTCTAAGATTTTTATGGTTTCTCGGCTTACATTTAAGTCTTTTATCCACTTTGAGTTTATTTTGTGTATGGTGTAAGTTGGTGGTCTA